GGGGGAAGGACCAGCACCTGTCATACAGTTCAGGCTGAAGACCAGAAGTTTGAGAGGATTAGAACCAGCACCTGCCATACAGTTCAGGCTGAAGACCAGGAGAAGCTTGGGAGAGGGTTAGAACCAGCACCTGCCAGAGAACGACCCGTGCTTGTGCATGCGAGAGCGCGGGTGTAGATCATCGCTTGTAGCATATGTTAGTGCTCTCATAAAGAACTGTTAGATGAAGAGTGTCCATAACTGTTAGTGCAACCTGCTGGCTGATAGCAATCATAATGCAAGACATTCTACCAAACCAAACCCATCAAAACCACAAAGTGAGATTATAATTTCCTTGCAGGACTGTTCCACATTTTAAAAACAACAACGATATCAATAGCCACCAATCCAAGTTACATTACAAATTCAATTTAGTTTAGTATAACTCGAAAACAGTATCTTCTGTGGTAAGGACATATCCAAGGGTGAAATCAACAATCCAGCCACCCTGAAAGAGTATTACTTACAAAAATCATCAGTGATCACTTCAGCAAATCACTAAGATTGCAATCAATTAACTGGAAACACAATACAGACAGCATTTCGAAACTCCCTCAAACAAAACAGTATCAGATCCACTTATACACTAGTTCAACTATGATCAATTAAGTCCCTGCAGTGGGCAATGCAGCCATAAAAGAGTTGTAAGATGACTCGAGATCGAAGTGAAGCTGCCGAGCCTGCTGCTCTGTCAACTCATCTGCTGCTCCCATCTTCGACAACCGCCCAATCCAGTCTCTCATCTTTGTCTTCCCCTCAAATTCAGGCGGCAAAATAGAAAGCTTATTAAGTGAACCTGATAAATCAGAGAGCAATGGATGAACTTGATCCACAGCCACCATATTCAACTTCAATGAGTCCATCGCAGTAATAAAATTCTGCACACATTCAGCCACATTGGCTGCCGAGGTAGTTGCCGACATTGCCGCAGCTGCCCTGTGCTCCACAGTGGCAGGAACGCCAGAGGTCACAAGGCGGTTTATGGCAGCCTGGCAGTCCATTTTATAGGTATCATGGAACCGCTCAATACTCGGGACTGTGTCTTTCAATGAGGAAGATAGGGTTTTAAAATGAGCAATCAACTTTTGGCATTCAACCTCATACTCTGCTGGTGAAATTATGTCACGAATATAGGCCTTTTCAAGCTTCTCTGTTGCTTTAATTATTGCAAAGAGCTCAGCAAAGTTTTCATACATCTCTCTTTCGCGCTTGTCATTCCATAGCTTAACCTCCATTGAAGAGTTTAATCCCGGGTTGTGGACCAAATTAGGTTTATGTATTCGAATTGGAGAAGAGGACGGGACACGCGCAAAAAGAATCTAAACTTCCCTGGACATCAACCAAAACAGTAAACACATTAGATTCAGAACAATACCATAAATCGTGATCATGAAATTCAAAACATTACGACAATCTATATACATCGGGGATCATGAAATTCAGAGCAACAATATATAATATCGACCTGAGTGCATCAAATGAATCTGGGTGTGTCTATATATTGGATTGTGCGTGTGTATCTATAAGAATGCATATCTACATGTATATACTGCAGATACACATGAAATCTAAGAGGAAAATTTCCAAACAAAACTAATTTACATCATTTGCATATAATGAAAAATAAAATATGAATCTAAGAGGAAACCCTCACAGAACAAACAGTTAAAGAGAACATTAAACATCGAACCAAAATAAGAAGGAACAGATGTTACAGATCATAACAATGGCAAAGAAATGATAAACCCAGAATCAAAACAGCGCAAAATTTCAAAATTGGAATCCCAACAACACAGTCCTTATATTTCAGAATCCAAATTTATAGATCAACATACCCAGAACTAAGACATAATATGATTCAATAACTCAATCAGAATTTCCACATAAATATATATACATACACGTATGTAGAGAGAGAGAGACATACAGAGAGCGAAAACGCGGCTTTGAATAATGGGAAGAGTGTTGCAGGTAGAGAGGAAAGAGTATGGGTGGAAGCAGGTTGTACGCTTGTGGACAGAGAGGTTGCGTGTGCGAAATCAGATCTAATAATAGTCCAATTCAGTAGGGGATGGCACGTGCTTTGCGCGTGCTTATCCCCACCTCGTTTTCAAGCATGCTATCGGATTCGGACAGGTTCTTAGTCAATCCTAATTCGATTCAAATTAATGATTCGATTCCGAACCCGATCAAAATCGCCGGATATCATGTATGAAATCTCAATTTAATCACTAGAACACTGAAAAACAATTCAATTACAGCACGCGCTGTAATTGAATTCGATCAAAATCGACGGATATCATTTGTGAAGTTCCAAATTAATCACTTCAAACAAAGAATTTCATCTCAATTGCTGCACAAATGTCTCAAAGTTCCAAGAGCTTACGCTCAATTTCGGTTCCCTTTCACCAAATATGTTCGAACTGAGGCTCAATTTCACCTCGAAATTCATAAAAGTTCGAGCCAGATCTTACCTGTGAGAAGCCCGAAAACGGGGCCGAGAGCGGAGCTTAGATTTGTTCAGAAGAGAGAGGAAAGGGTTCACCGGCAAAGAGGGTGGTTGACTGGCAGTAAACGGATAGGTGAGGAGAAAGAAAGATGGAGGCCGGGTAGGAATTAGGATCATTTTATACATTACATCCATTTTGCAAAGACAGACCTAAACAAAGTGGTGTAGTGGTCAAAACCTTGTTTTCCCCAACAATGCAATTTTGAGGAGGGATATTTTTAAACGAATCGATATTGAATAATTTTAAAAAAATGAGTTTGGTATGCTCGGCTTGACTTCACAAAGAAAATTCAACTTGTTATCAATCATAATTACGATAATCAACTTAGAGTTCGAGAGAATAATCGGTGTAAGTCTGAATATCTTAAAACAAAAAAAAACGACAGACCAAAACGGTTCAAATTAAACTCGAATTGGTGGACAAACAATCCTTACCCCATCCTATTAATATGAACAGAGAATGACTATGACATTGAAGTCAATACCTATCAAAATTTTTTAATTTTTAAAATCAAGTTACAATTGCAAATAGTACTATCAATTCTAAAATACTATAATCATGCAATAATTTTAAAAGGGGTCAAGTTACATAAAAGGTAAAAAGTAGCAGATTTTCTTGATAGATCACAACAACATTGGAACTATAACTTTTATTTTAGTCAAATTACAATTTCTAATGAACAATGTAGTGAATTTGCTAAGAGAACTGATAGGAAAAGCATATTCTTTTTACTGCCTACAAACTTGAAGAACCTTTCTCTTTCCTACCACCACCATGGACAGAGAAGCCGAAACTCCTGCTACAGAAAATCCCAGTTTACGGTACTTCACGGCCATGGCTGCAACCAGTGGCACCATCCCTGCTACCACATGCTAATGAAGCTACCACAGCTATTTGAGGTTGCAGTGGCTATAAGAATTGCTTACAGAGTAAGAACTATGCAAGTACTACAGGCAAGACTAGACTGAAAGTAATGGAGGAATTATTATATCTTGCATTCTCATTGCTTCCCTATATTTATATACCTATACAATTGTCTTGCCTGTTAAGCATTTACAAAAGAATATTCTAACCAATCCTAAATCAATGGCTAAACTAATTCTGACAAGCTCTACAAAATATATGACAGAAATAAAGAAGGAAAACTTCTCCAGTCAATCAAAGAAGATTATTTTATTTTCTTTTCTTGCAGATTCTTGTGATTCCAACTTCCTTCTAGAGATTATGATCCATGTTGACACTACTGAATAAGCAGACCCTTCCCTTCATCCCTAGCTGGAAGCCTTGTTGGCAATTACTTCTCTATTCTTCATATTTCAACAGCCCCCCTCAAGATGGAGAGTAGATATTTTCTACTCCCATCTTGGATAGATGAGAGAAAAAGTTGGCAGAACACAAAGGCTTGGTTAACATATTGGCAACTTTGAGAGGCACTGTTTACATGCTAAGTTACAATACTCCCATCTTGAACTTTATCGCGGATCAAATGGNTTCATATTTCAACAGCCCCCCTCAAGATGGAGAGTAGATATTTTCTACTCCCATCTTGGATAGATGAGAGAAAAAGTTGGCAGAACACAAAGGCTTGGTTAACATATCGGCAACTTTGAGAGGCACTGTTTACATGCTCAGTTACAATACTCCCATCTTGAACTTTATCACGGATCAAATGACAGTCAAGCTCAATGTGTTTGGTCCGCTTGTGGAAAATCGAGTTTGCTGCAATGTGTAATGCAGCTTTATTATCACAAAAATAGCACAGCTGCTTGAGGATGTTCTATTTGTAAATCATGAAATAAGTATCTAAGCCTCAGCTGAGGACCTAGAGATTGTGTTCTGTTTCTTGGATTTCCAAGACACCAAAGAAGAGCCAATGAAAACGCAATACCCTGTCACTGATATTCTCATATCTGGGCATGCCCCCCCAGTCCGAATTACTGTAAGCTCTAAGATTTATGTTGGATGCCGAAGAATAAAACAATCATTGTCCTGGTGTTCTTTTAATGCACTTCAATACTTTGTGAGTTGCATTCAAATGTGGANGCACAGCTGCTTGAGGATGTTCTATTTGTAAATCATGAAATAAGTATCTAAGCCTCAACTGAGGACCTAGAGATTGTGTTATGTTTCTTGGATTTCCAAGACACCAAAAAAGAGCCAATGAAAACGCAATACCCTGTCACTGATATTCTCATATCTGGGCATGCCCCCCTAGTCCGAATTACTGTAAGCTCTAAGATTTATGTTGGATGCCGAAGAATAAAACAATCATTGTCCTAGTGTTCTTTTAATGCACTTCAATACTTTGTGAGTTGCATTCAAATGTGGAAGCCTAGGAGTCTGCATAAATTGGCTCAATAATTGGACTGCATATGAAATGTTAGGTCTAGTTATGGTCAAATAGAGCAATCTTCCAATGAGTCTCCTGTAAATTGAAGGATCGGGGATAAGTTCTCCTTCATCCTTCAAAAGTTTGAAGTTTTGATCAAGTGGTATTTTGGTTGGTTTTGATCCAATTGTTCCAGAATCTGCTAATATGTCCAGCGCATATTTTCTTTGGCAAATATAAATTCCCTTTCCGATCTTGCTACCTCTATACCNGCAATCTTCCAATGAGTCTCCTGTAAATTGAAGGATCGGGGATAAGTTCTCCTTCATCCTTCAAAAGTTTGAAGTTTTGATCAAGTGGTATTTTGGTTCGTTTTGATCCAATTGTTCCAGAATCTGCTAATATGTCCAGCGCATATTTTCTTTGGCAAATATAAATTCCCTTTTCCGATCTTGCTACCTCTATACTNCAAGTGGTATTTTGGTTGGTTTTGATCCAATTGTTCCAGAATCTGCTAATATGTCCAGCGCATATTTTCTTTGGCAAATATAAATTCCCTTTCCGATCTTGCTACCTCTATACCGAGAAAATACTTCAATATCCCTAGGTCTTTGATTTTGAATCTGTCATTGAGAGAGGCTTTGAGAGATGAGATGATATTCATGTCATTGCTAGCTACTATGATGTCGTCCATATAAACCAAAACTGCAATGAAGGAGTCTTTGGTGGCTCTTGTTAATAAACTATAGTCTGCCTTGGACTGTTGGAAGCCTTGTTAGACANTAGGTCTTTGATTTTGAATCTGTCATTGAGAGAGGCTTTGAGAGATGAGATGATATTCATGTCATTGCTAGCTACTATGATGTCGTCCATATAAACCAAAACTGCAGTGAAGGAGTCTTTGGTGGCTCTTGTGAATAAACTATAGTCTGTCTTGGATTGTTGGAAGCCTTGTTAGACGNTGCTAGCTACTATGATGTCGTCCATATAAACCAAAACTGCAATGAAGGAGTCTTTGGTGGCTCTTGTTAATAAACTATAGTCTGCCTTGGACTGTTGGAAGCCTTGTTAGACAATAAAATCAAATCGCTTAGAATTTCACTGCCATGAAGCTTGCTTTAAGTCATATAAACTTTTCTTAAGCTTGCAAACCTTTGATTGCCCCTCCTTAGAAAACCCCTATGGCATTTCCATATATACTTCCTCCTTTAGATCTCCATGTAAGAATGCATTATTTACATCGAACTGGTACAAAAACCAGCCCTTAGCTGTTGCCATAGCAAGTAAGGTGCGAACAGCTACCATTTTTGCAACTGGGGAGAAGGTTTCATGGTAGTCTAGCCCCTCTTGCTGCGTATACCCCTTAGCTACTAGTCTAGTTTTGTACCTCTCAATGCTTCCATCAACCTTGAATTTAATTTTGTAAACCCACTTACACCCTATGACCACCTTTCCAGGAGGCAAGTCAGTAACAACCCAAATGTTATTCAATTCTAGAGCATCTATCTCAGTTTGCATGACTTTACGCCATTCAACACATTTCTGGGCTTGCTGGTAGGAACTAGGCTCGATGTGTGTTGAAATAGAAGTGACAAAGGCTTTATGATTACTTGACAATTTATGATATGATAATGTAGCACATAAAGGAGAAGGAGTACCTGACTTTGTATAGACCTTATCCTTGTTCAACTCCTACAAATGAAGAAGTGAGGAGGCCTGTTGACAAATGAAGTCTTGTAGATGTGAGGGTGCTTTCCTATTTCTGGTGGATTTTCTAGGAAAATGAGGGATCATGGTGGTGTCTTGGGAAGGCTCTAGAAGTGGTTCTACCTCTGCTTTAGGATCAATATTTTTAGATAAGTGGTTTGATTCTTCTGTAGTCTAAACCTCAGGTTGGAGACTTTGGCCATTTGGGTAGTCTAAATCAATGTTTACTAGTTGAGTGAAAGGTAATTCAAGAGTACTTGGTAGGGTATGACTTGTGTCTGCACTAGTGTCTTTGTAGGGAAATATACTCTCATGGAAAATGACATTCCTAGAAGTAAATTGTTTCTTGGTTTCTAAGTCAAATAACTTGTAACCCTTAATCCCAAAAGGATACCCCAGAAACACGCACCTTTTAACCCTTGGGTCAAATTTGCGTCTGTTATGAGTGAGGGGTAGAAACATATGCTTGGCATCCAAACACTCAAAGGTGAGAATAATTTGGCTTGGTTTTGAAGAGGAGTTCAAATGGTGTTTTGTTTTGAAGAAGAGGTGAAGGGGTTCTGTTTAGAAGATATATTTTTGTAAGAATACAGTCACTCCAATACTTCATATGGAGTTCAAATGGTGTTTTGTCTCCTTCACTTAATCATGGATTGGTCACGACAACATCCATGGTTGAGGACAAAAGAGGAAGAAGAAGAAGGCATTTGATATATATCCTGATGAAACAAAGAAGAGTACAACTCTTTAGTGCATAATGATCCTTAAATAGAGTGTGTATTTCACCAGATTAGGTTAATTACCAATCTTATTTTCCTATGTCTTTTCAACTTATGTCTCATATTGCGATCTTCTATATCATTTCTGTTAAAAAACACGTTTTGCAAAACATTCACCTCTCATATCCGATGGTCATCTACTGGACACGATAAACCTTAGTAGGAAAGTCGTAGTGAAGAGGAACAGTGTTGCTATGTAACTTTTTATGTGCTATAATTCAACACTTAACTAGAAATTGACCAACTAAATGTGAATCTTAGTGTTTCCTATCAAGCAAAGTTGAATGATTATGTTGGTTAGTGATGGACTATTACTCTATTAGAAATGGTGAAGGGGCTTGGATATAT